CTCATTGACCTGCAGTGCAATTCTGAACTCAAAGCCAAGTTCAGGGAGGTGAGTGGAAATGCAGACAAGCTTGGACATTTTTTTGAGAGAGCTGCCACCCACCTTCCCTGAGCTCTCCAGAATGTTCAAGCGGACCATGTGCCTTTTTGGGACCACATATCTATGTAAAAAGCTATTCTCCACCATGAACTTCAATAAGTCAAAGTACAGGTCCAGACTTACTGATGAGCATCTTCAAGCCATACTGAGGGTTTCAACTGTTTCCTCCCTCAAGCCAAATGTGTCTCAGCTGTGTGAGAGGAAGCGCTGCCAGTTCTCTGGCAGCAAGGAGTAGGCAGAAGCCTATGTTCTGAAGAACCGTTCATGTTCTGAAGAACCGTTCATGTTCAGAAGGACACCTCATGAAGAACCATTCATGTTCAGATTCAGAAAGGAATGTTCAAATTCAGAGGAACAGTTCAGAATAAACGTTAATAATAAAGATTGAGAAGATTGGATCAGTTGTGCTCCTTTTTTGGAATACTTGATGCGGCCCAGCCTGACCCAGACTCTACCTCCAGCGGCCCCCAGGTAAGTTGAGTTTGAGAGTTGAGACCCCTGCCCTAAGGCCGTGTGTCCACCAAAGCGTTTTTAGCCAGCTGAAAACGCTAGACGCTCTGCTGAAAACGCCTAGCTGTGAGCGCTTGAGAGCGTTTTGGCAGCGCAGCGTTTTTTCCGTTGAGACGTTTCGTTGCAATGATACAGAATATCCGCAGCACAGTTTACTTGTAACTGATTTCGCAGATAATTTGTTTCATACTAAAAATTTATTTTTCATCGATTTTGTTCGGTTTGCTCTGATGGTTGATGTTGTTGTACAGAAAGACAATAACTTTATTATTAAATAAAATATCATGCAGTAGCATATTATCTTAATTTAGAAAATGTCTTTAAGATGTTTGATTTAGAATTGATGTGAAACTGACATTTTAAAGACGGGAACGGACTGGAAATTAATTCTATATGCCTACATTTTATATTTTTATAGGCCTACATTTTATACTTTTATATAAATAAAAGTCTTTTGTCATTTCATTAGTTGAATTTTGTGGAAATTATTTTTATTTCTTGATGACTTTCATGTTTCATAAGAAGCTATTAATCACTTAATGCAATTTTGATGTAATATTTATATCGACTTTGTGTATATAAAATAAGCAAAAACTTAATTTATTATGCTATTTATATGCCCATATGTATCTTATCCCATATTTGATATGAGAGGAAAACGTGAGAACCCAGAAGTCGAAAGTGTTTAAATCAATCAATATACCATTTACATTTTGTGAACGAAAGCTCGTTCCAATGTTAAACGAACCACGTGTAGATAACACGAATTAACACATTAAGTTGTTCATGTGATCTGACATTAAACACTGTAAGGAAACCCCGCCGTTAAGCAGGGCATCAAAAAATTAGTTTATACTCATTGTGTTCCTCCCCACGGAAATCTTTAGTAAAAGGCGAAAGATTTATACGATCTGAAGAGAAACATGAGTGTACTAGTTTCCTTATGGCACCAGCACGGACCCGAGTGTAAGGAACACACTTCACGAGAACGGTGACGGACACCGTGTGTGTTCAACATTAAACAGATTATTTGTTGTGTCAGACTAAGTGACTCTTCTCTTTTGTGACGGTCTGCTCTTTTTAAAAAAAAAACGTGATTTCTAGATGAAAAAAAAAAACACTTTAGGATCCTTGTTAAACTGACACAGGCCAGTTTAATTAAAGTACTTCTAAAGTTCTGTTGTGAAATGTTTAAGATAACACTACTGTCAAACAAATGCGAATATACAACTCACTGCTCTTGAAGGATACATTTATTAGCTTTATTATTTAATAATATATTATACAGTAGCATATTATTTTAATTTTTTATGAAGATAATGAGAAATTTAGGCTGTTTTATTTTACACTTGAATGTCTTTTTAATTTCTGAATGTTTACCTCAGCTAATAGTCTACTTTTGTATTATTTTGCTGGTAGGCCTACTTTATATATTAAAAATGTTTGTTTTATTAGTTCATTGTCTTTTGTTACTTTATTGGTTGTCTTGAATAATTGCTTGATGACTATAGCCTTTAATGTTTTATAGGTTATTAGTCGTCTAAATGTCATTTTGATGTAATATCGCAAGATATTAAATCTAGTACACATTAAACATTAACATTTAGTTAACATAGGAACGCATTCCTCACATGTGAATAACGAATAAAGATCAGGTTTAAAAGAGATTCTGACATTGTACACAGCAAGTAAGCCCCGCCGTTTGGCAGGGCATCAAAAAATTAGTTTATACTCATTGTGTTCCTCCCCACGGAAATCTTTAGTAAAAGGCGAAAGATTTATACGATCTGAAGAGAAACATGAGTGTACTAATTTCCTCACTGCACCAGCACGGACCCGACTGTAAGGAACACACTTCACGAGAACGGTGACGGACACCGTGTTTAACATTTAACATAGATTATTTGTTGTGAGACTGGATAGTTTGTACATTTTCTATAAAGTGACTCATCCGATCTGCTCTTTTTTATTTTAAATGTGAACATAAAATATATATATATATATATAATTACCACATACTTTATGATCCCTGTTGAACTGACACACACCAACAGAGGGCGTTGTCTTCTTACATCAGTGAGTGGAACACAAAAAGTTCTCTTTTAAATTCTAACATTATGGAAACTAACGAAAACACCAAACTGAAAGTGACGAGCACTTTTGGACAAGTGACGGACAGACATTTATGAGCACAGCATAAATTCTTGTTTCTATATTGTGTGTTGAGACAAAGAGAGCACAATATGTTTCGCAATCGGAGGGATTATTTCACCAGCCTAAAATATCGTGTCCACTTTACACCTGAAACGAAACTGCCATCCTGAAACGAAACAGGACTTGTACTTTTCAGTACAGTCACGCTTCCAAACCAGCGAAACCCAACGCGCGAGCACTTAAAACATACGATTTCTAGACATTAAAGTTTTATCACCATAACATTAAGTTACTAAAAGGTACTATTCCACATGCGACTTACACGAAATAAAGAAACATGTTTTACAGTGCAATCATGATCCCGGCACAAGGTACTTAATTTCTTATATTCAACAAGTATAGGAAGCCCCGCAATTAAGCAGGGCATCAAAAAATTAGTTTATACTCATTGTGTTCCTCCCCACGGAAATCTTTAGTAAAAGGCGAAAGATTTATACGATCTGAAGAGAAACATGAGTGTACTAAAGATTCCTGGCGCACCAGCACGGACCCGACTGACGGAAACACGTTTCACACGAACGGTGACAATATGACAGACATGAACATTGCAAATATTATGTTACAGCACAACGTATTATAATGTTAAAAACGATTATGCAACTAAATTGTATAACAAACAAGAGTGTATGGGTTAATAAAATAAAAAAAAACACTTAATGAAATGTATAGTACTCCATTGCATTGTGGGTAAGAGGGTTTACTTCCGGGTTCGTCATCGCTCACGGAATCAGGTCGCTTTACCATAGGTCGTCTTCTTACGGCATATTATTGCCTTAAAGCGGCTTTGGCTTTACTTGTAAATATATAATATAAGTCTATATTTCCTGGCATGGTAAAAAGGCGGCTTTACATTATCAAAAAACAGTAAACACATTGAACTATGACCTATGGATAAAATGTCTGCTAAATGAAATGAAGAAAATACAACATGCAATAAAAAAATAATGATATGCAATAAACCTTGTAGCATTTTCAGCCATTGATATTAATTTATAGTAAAATAATCAAAACTATGAAATAATAAAGTATGCAAATAAATATAATTTAAAACAGCATGTATGCTGGACACTTGCTGGCTGCCTTCATTACTGGGTAAGCAAAGTATAATTTATATTTGTTAACAAAAAAAAAATCAAAATTTAGAACTGTTTTTATGATCATGACAAACATAATCATAAATATTTTTGAAACGTTAAGCTTCAATATTATGGAGATCAAATTGAAAAAAAAAAAAAAAAAAAAAAGTCCCTTAACTTTCCCCATATATTTTCTATGGTAGGCTAGTGCTTAACATTACGGATGCAATATATTTTTGACCACATGTAGATTTCATGGCGCTGTTTCGCCCTTTCCGTGGCGGGTCATTACAATCGCATAATATGGTTAACCAGTTCACAAAATAGTTTTGTTACAACACATACTTACTGAAAAATTACGTGGCTTACGTGTTTTAAGCCAGGCAGGTAAACTAAGATGAATTCTTTACTATTTTTTTGGGGGGGGGGGGGGTTGTTATTTATCATCATCATCATTTAATTGTGTTGTTAATAGTTTTGAATGGTTTGTAAAGTTTAATATATAAATAAAACAAGTATGATTCTATCAAAAGTTTGGTTTACTGTCGTTTTTATTAACAGAAATGTATAATTTATTGGAGGTTCTTTAGGTACTTTTAACTGGTCCACTTGTGTATGTATAAGCTTGAAATCAAATTGACAAAGAAATAAAAATGTACTTTCTCCCCGTCGGGGAATCGAACCCCGGTCTTCCGCGTGACAGGCGGAGATACTGTCCACTATACTAACGAGGAAGGGACCGATTTTACCTCCGGAATGTAGTACTTTTAATTTGACATTTCCGCATTTCTATGACTGACAAAAGCAAGATAAAAGTACCACATCCAGCCTCCGTACTTCAGTCCCTTCCTCGTTAGTATAGTGGACAGTATCTCCGCCTGTCACGCGGAAGACCGGGGTTCGATTCCCCGACGGGGAGAAACAATTGTTTTGTTGTTGTTGTTATTTTAATTAACTCAAGAATTAGTAGGCCTATACGTTTTAAAGTTTTTGCCCAAATTTATAAAATCTGACATATATAAAACATCATCAACAGAACTCAAAACAGCCTATTCCACTTATAAATCACTAACAACATTCTGACTTTAAACATTATTAAAGAGCCCCGCAATTAAGCAGGACATCAAAAAATTGATAATACTCATTGTGCTCCTCCCCACGGAAATCTTTAGTAAAAGGCGAAAGATTTATACGATCTGAGGAAAAACATGAGTGAATTGACGGTACAACAGCTCGAGAAGAAACCCGAGTCGGGAGAACACATCTCACAGTAACGGTACGAACATTAAGTGCATTAATGCGTATGTGAGAAATAATAGTGTAACAAAACTGATAACACACTGCCTATATAGGCCTAGTAAAGTAATACAATGCAAAAACACCACAAATTAAAAGTACTTTGTTATTACGGAGATGGTTATGGTGGTTATAATGAAACGCAACAAACCGCACTGTCTGTGGGCTTTCGGTTTCGTCATCACGCCTTCTTCTAACTCTTTCACGAACTTTTGCAAATTCACAATAAATTATCAATATTCCAAAGCACCTCAATCACTAAAACTGTAGTGACTGTGACATACATAATTCACCTTTGGGTTAAATGTAGTTCTATACATTGTTGGTGATAAATGCAGTACTTTGTTCTTAGCGTTTTTTTCCTCATAACTGTTCAGGGATCGTGGTCCCTTTAAATGTTCTGTATGGGTGATGACGTAGGACGCTTGTCAGCGCCATTGGTTCGCTGTTAGTTTTGTCATACGAAATAAACGACACACGTATTTGTGTGCTCAAAGTGAGAAGTTGTCTCTTGCTAGTTACTGCAATTTCCACACTGGTGACCCCGACATTAGTCTGCTGGACGTATCCAGAGACACGACACGACCATGACCGCGAACGCTGTCACCCTCAAACTCCCCGAATTCTGGGAATCGTCGGCATCTGCATGGTTCGCACAGACTGAAGCGCAGTTCGCGCTGCGTGAGATCACCGCGGATACAACAAAATACTACTACGTAGTGTCGGCTCTCGGTAATTCAACGGCATCCAGAGTGGTGAGCCTTCTAACAAATCCTCCGGAAAACGAGAAATATGCAGCACTCAAAGCACACCTGTTGAAAACGTTCGGACTGTCGGACGCTGAGAGAGCCGGCAGGCTTTTCTCCCTTCAAGGACTGGGTGACAGCAAACCGTCCGAGCTCATGGACCGCATGCTGGATCTTTTGGGAGAGCACAGACCCGATTTTCTGTTCATCCAGCTTTTCCTGCGTCAGCTGCCTTCACAAGTGAGAGCTGCATTAGCCAACACCACAATCACTGACTGTCGGAGACTGGCTGAGGAAGCTGATAAATTTTTCCTGGCGAGTCACGGACATTGTGCGGACGCGCTTTTTCCCGCGCACATCGCTTCGGTGACACGTGACGACTCCACCTTCGTCGCGGCAACCACTTCTCGGCGGCAGTTGTCTTCTGGCCCCCAACAACTTCCAGGCTTATGTTTCTACCATGCTAAGTTTGGAACCAAGGCTAACAAATGTCGCTCACCATGCAGTTTCGGCGGGTCGGGAAACGCCGGGGCCGGCGCTCAGTAGTGGCCATGAGCGTCGGCCGCGTAGGCAGGCTGCTTTTCATCCACGACAGCATCTCTGGACGGCGTTTTCTGTGCGACACAGGAGCACAGAGGAGCGTCCTGCCTGCATCCCGTTTGGACATGGTGACCGACAGCCACGGCCCTCCTATGGAAGCTGCAAATGGTAGCCCCATCCGCACATATGGAACGAGGTACATCGAACTGTGTTTAGGAGGACAGCACTTCGGCTGGAACTTTGTTACCGCAAAGGTTGCCGTTCCCCTCCTCGGCGCTGATTTTTTGTGTGCACATGGACTGTTGGTGGATGTAAAGAATCGCCGTCTGATTGACGCTGTCACGTTTTGCTCTTATACATGCACGCTCAGCGGGACTGACTCCATACGGCTGTCTAGCATGCTTTCAGCTTCTGATGATTTCCACCGTCTGCTTGCCAGTTTCCCAGCCCTCACTCAGCCCACTTTCTCTGCATCAGCCGTGAAGCATGGTGTGGAGCACCATCTCGCCACCACTGGTCCACCCGTCTACGCCCGCGCTCGGCGCCTCGACCCAACCAAGCTTGCCGTTGCAAAGGCTGAGTTTGCGAACATGGAACGCCTGGGAATAGTTCGCCGATCCGACAGCCCATGGGCATCGCCCCTCCACATCGTCCCCAAACCTGGTGGCGGCTGGCGCCCGTGTGGCGACTACCGGCGGCTTAATGAGGCAACGGCGCCTGACCGATACCCAGTCCCGAACATACAGGATTTTTCAGCACACCTGTCTGGCAAGGTGATTTTTTCCAAGGTCGACCTCGTTCGTGGATATCATCAGGTGCCGGTACATCCACTGGACATCCCCAAAACGGCAGTGATCACGCCGTTTGGTCTGTTTGAGTTCCTGCGTATGCCGTTCGGCCTTAAAAACGCCGCCCAAACTTTTCAACGCCTCATGGACTCTGTTTTGCGGGACCTGCCTTTTCTTTTTGTGTACTTGGATGACATTCTAGTAGCGAGCACGTCCAAGTCTCAGCACCTGGCGCACCTCCAAACCCTTTTTGAGCGGCTTAGCCAACATGGATTGATTGTCAACCCCGCCAAGTGCCAGTTCGGCCTCTCCACCATTGACTTCCTTGGACACAGAGTCACTAAGGACGGGGCGGTCCCTCTCCCATCAAAGGTGGAGGCAGTCACACAGTTCCCACGCCCGCTCACTGTCAAATCCCTGCAGGAGTTCCTCGGCATGGTGAATTTTTACCACCGCTTCATTCCTCGAGCTGCTCTGCTCATGCGGCCTTTGCACGAGGCCTTGAAAGGTAAACCACAGCACGTTGTGGACTGGACTGAGAGTAGAGACAGGGCTTTTGCCGCCACTAAGGCAGCCCTAGCGAACGCCACCATGTTGGCACATCCTTCTCCAACAGCCCCCATCGCCATCACCTCGGATGCCTCAGACTATGCTGTCGGTGCTGTCTACGAGCAGTGGGTAGGCGGTGCCTGGCAGCCGCTGGCTTTCTTTAGCCGTCAGATGCGCCCCTGTGAGCGGAAGTACAGCACTTTCGACCGGGAGCTGCTGGGTCTCTACCTCGCCATCCGACATTTCCGTTCCCTGCTGGAAGGCCGACACTTCACTGCGTTTGTGGATCACAAGCCGTTGACTTTTGCCATGGCCAAGGTGGCTGAACCGTGGTCCGCCCGCCAGCAACGTCATCTGTCCTACATTTCAGAGTTCACCACGGACTTGCAGCACGTTGCTGGTAAGACCAACCACGTGGCTGACTGCTTATCACGGGCTGTGGTGGGGGCAGTCCACCTGGGCTTAGATTACAACCGCATGGCGGCCGCTCAGGCCACAGACCCGGACGTGCAACTCCTGAGGACCTCGACTACAGGTCTGCAGATCGAGGATGTAGTTTTTGGCGATGCCGGCACCACGCTCCTGTGTGACATCTCCACAGGTAGTCCTCGGCCAGTCGTTCCCTCGGGATGGAGACGACAAGTTTTTGACGCCATCCATGGTCTCTCCCACCCCGGTTCGAAAGCGTCACAGAGACTGGTTGCAGCTAAGTTTGTTTGGCACGGCCTCAAGAAGGACGTTAGGGATTGGGCTAACATCTGTGTTGAGTGCCAACGGGCCAAAGTCCACCGCCACACTAAAGCCCCGTTAGGTTTGTTCCCGGTTCCGGAGAGACGTTTTGACCATGTAAACGTGGACCTGGTCGGTCCTCTGCCCTCCTCTCACGGTTTCACATATCTGTTCACCATGGTTGACAGGACCACCCGCTGGCCCGAGGTTGTGCCTTTGACGTCAATGGCATCTGTCGAGATGACACGGGCATTTATTAGCACCTGGGTTGCCCGTTTCGGCAGTCCTTCGGACATTTCCTCTGACCGAGGCGCGCAGTTCACGTCTGAGCTGTGGGACGCTGTCGCACAGAGCCTCGGAGTGAAACTCCACCGCACGACCGCATATCACCCGCAGGCTAACGGACTCTGTGAACGTTTTCATAGGTCAATGAAGGCTGCCCTGCGTGCCAGCCTCAAAGACAGCAACTGGGTCGACAAGCTCCCATGGGTGTTGCTGGGCATCAGGACTGCGCCAAAGGAGGACCTTCAGTCCTCATCCGCGGAGCTTGTTTATGGACAGCCACTGCGGGTACCGGGGGAGTTTGTCCCTAGTGCCACGGTTCCCTGGTCTGCTACTTTCCAGCGGTCTACTCTACTGGACAATGCAAGGCTTTTCGCACCTGTCCCTACTTCACGTCACGGCCTCCCTCAGTCACACATCCCCGCTGGACTTCAGACGGCTGACTACGTTTTCATTCGCCACGATGCTCACAGGGGACCGCTACGTCCGCCCTATGAGGGCCCATTCCGGGTCCTGGAGACGGGGGACAAACATTTTGTGGTGGACAGAGGCGGCAAACCGGAGCGACTTTCTATCGACCGCCTCAAACCGGCTCATTTGGACGTAGCCAGGCCCATCAACCTGGCCCAGCCCCCACGCCGCGGACGGCCTCCTGCTCTGCCTCCACCCCTTGCTCCTAAACCTCCTACACTCCATGCCCCACACCCGGGTCTTGGCGGGACACCGGCTGCAGTGAGGTTTCCTCAACCTCCAGTACAGCGCAGCCGTTGTGGTCGGTTGATACGCCCACCTCCCCGTTGACAGTTTGGTTCTTCGGATACAGTGAATTCTGGGGGGACGTGTGTAGTGACTGTGACATACATAATTCACCTTTGGGTTAAATGTAGTTCTATACATTGTTGGTGATAAATGCAGTACTTTGTTCTTAGCGTTTTTTTCCTCATAACTGTTCAGGGATCGTGGTCCCTTTAAATGTTCTGTATGGGTGATGACGTAGGACGCTTGTCAGCGCCATTGGTTCGCTGTTAGTTTTGTCATACGAAATAAACGACACACGTATTTGTGTGCTCAAAGTGAGAAGTTGTCTCTTGCTAGTTACTGCAATTTCCACAAAACAAACAAACATCTAGACTACTCGTTTCCCAGTATTTCCATTGATATAATATGGACAAAACTGAAATTATAGCCTACAGATGAAAATTATAAGGGAAAACACATTGTAATAAATCTTTCTTTCCCATTAATTCTGCCTCACTAAAAAAAGATATGGAATTATCAACAGAG